CAGCCGTTTCCAGTTCTTGCCTCGAACCACTGACTAGTATTCTTGCTTACTCCCCTATGCTTCCCCCAAATCTTGCCTCCAGGGCGGCATCTGGGCATCCATCACTTGCCACCCCTACCACCGCCACCACTCGAACTCTCGACTAGCATCCCTGTTCCCATCCTCTATCCTGTTGTCAGTCCGTGTCTCGGAGCTGCATATAGGCACCTACCAACCAGCACCTCAATCACGTCCAACCCTGCACTCCCAACTACGCGATCCAGCCACCGCACGCTGGGTACCAGTACCCTGCACTCGTTGACGAAGTACTCAGCAATGAAGGCAAACGGCGCCGTGAAATAGCGTTGGCAGAGAAGCCAGAGCGTTTTCACAATACCAGCCGAACCGAGGTTTAGAAACTGCTCGGCTCAGTTCGGCCTCCATCGAGAGACGCTCTCGTTATTCTAGCAACTCTGTGCTCGGCTCACTCTTCTAAAGGTTACTTAAAGCAAGCTGATGGCGGGTTTGACACTCTGACATATGCTAGTACAAATTTACCATTAGAACAAATCATAAAGGGATTCGATTTACTGCACGAGAACGGTGCTATCCCCGCTGCGTTACGCATGCCTTCTGGTTGAAAGTGGGTGACAAAATTCACATAAATATGATCTCTTGATAATGTATGTCCTTGCATTTTTCATAAAATGCAAAATTCATAAAAAGCATCCTTTTACACAGATGTCAAAGTGCGTGCGACCATGTGCCGCTGCTGCCGTGTTACATTTAACGGTTCAATTCCGCGGCAAAATAACCAATTTCTGTACAATTTGTTCATTCGTTTCAATAGGAAATTGAAAGGGGTGTTAAAATTGCCACTGACCGCCCTGCCACAGAGCATGGTCGCTTTTGGCGTTCGTTATCACTGCGACTACCCCACCTTTCACAGAGAGCGAATATGGAGGTGAGTTTGAACTTCCAGCACAGACAGGAAATCCCAGATGGAGCCTGAAACTTGCCCTGAAGATAAAACCATACCTCATTTGCGTCAGCAACTCGAGCAACGCCATTCTTGGAACTATCGTTTCTGCGATTACGCAAGTTCATATCACGATAACGCATGAAGTTATCCTGAGGTAAAACAACCGCTACGCGATCTGATGGGATTGGCTCCTTCTGAGCAATGTCGCTTGGGAATGTTGTCATAATCTGAAAGTACGTCACAAAACTTGTACTGAAAGAAATTTTCCGTTTCTTTAATGAAAGTTCGATCGCACAAAATGGGGTCCATGTTTCTAAAATTATTCTGAAACCC